TTAGACAGACAAACATGTATCGTGCTTGCAGCCTTCAAATCTAATTATTCCCAATCCTCATCGCTCATACTGGATTTAGCTTCATTACCAGAACTCTTGGTTAGTTTTTCTTTCAAAGCCTTGTGCTGTCCAACTTGAATCAATAAGTCCCTAACTTGTACTTGCCACAAGCTAAAATTGATTGTCCCATAAAAAATTTCCACGTCATATTTCAACAATAACATATTTTTCTATTACTCCAATACTCTGAACCACTTGACGTTCTGATACAACTTGTTGAAAATTTTACATCAATTCCCTTTATTTCCATTTACCTGCATAATATTTTGTTGTTCAAGAGAATATTAACAAACAGGAAAAATAAAAAATATAATACAACAGACCGTCAAAACTTTTCACTATATGCAAATTATTACAACCATATAGAATTTCGCTCACCAACCCACTCCCCAAGTATTACAAAGAAAAATAAATTCGAACTTTACCACATCTACTTTTCTACCCCTTGTACGAGAAGTCTCTAGATGCTAGGCTCACAATATTTTTATCTTAGATCAACTCTTAAGCCACACTCAAAATAATGAAATACATATACTAATTATAGAATAATAACCAAGTAAAAGAGTTTAGTTTGAGTTAATAACCAAGTAAAAGAGTTTACTTTCAACTCAAACAAGGAGTCCTTCATGTGCAAGTCTCCAAAACCGATTGTAAATTGGAGACCAAGTACTGCAAGGATTCTGTTCCCAACTTTAATTAGAAATCTTCCATACAATCATTACCTTTTATTATTTGCCATAGAAGTCCTCCAACTTTTGACTTTTGAGGCAATTACGCAACAAATGTCAATGATGATATTGTTTTTGATAATCTCAAAAGGTATGTCGATGATAACTAACATTATCTCTCACTGAATCTATGAATATGTATGGATTTCAATTAGAGTCACCAACCGCCAAATCTTCAGTGAATATTGGAATTTTCATAAACAATTATTTTTTCTATTAATTTTTCTATTATTGCATCGTAAAGGCCCCTTTGACAACTTTGCCCAATGCTTCCAAATTTCTTGAGCCACCCTAGACCTAAATGCTTACGCCCTTGATTAGGAACAACAAACAAGATCTAATTACTTATGTTATATTTTTGACTAATCAAGTAATTAACTTGACTAAATTGGTGACTCAATTGACTAAGATTGCATCTTTTACTTAGATGATTGGATCAAAAAGAGTAAAATCTCATGTCAAAGTGATGTTAATTGCGTATTGCACCTGTTGCTTTTCATGGTAAGAGCACTTGTGTACCTCATTGATTAGGTGTTTAAGTGCATTCATCTGCATTGTTCATGAAATATACATGTTCTTGGTATAGTTTAATGCTTGTATCATCTACGCTGTATACATGAAGCTCTTATGAGTAGATTTTGACCGCATGCTTGAGATTCGGGATATAGGCCACTTTTGTAGTGGATTGACTTTGAATATGGAATGGCTTTTAAACTAGTTGACCTTAACTTTACTATAGTCTACATAAAAGAAAAATTATTTTTCAACTTCAAGAGAAAAATATTTGAAACATATGAAAAAAGTAAGCTACATCTTATACTTGTCTTCGAAGCCTTTTTGACTAAGTAATTAAACCTGTAGGATATCTTAAAACTTGATGCCCTATAGTTATCTGACTTTGAAATTTTCGGCGTAAAGCTCATTATGCGTGTCATAACGTTTGTTTAATGGAGATAAGTCTGCACATAAGAGAATAAAATTATTTATGCTTACAAATATGGAGAGTAAAAAAGTTATAAATGAAAAGTCAGTTATGAGCTTATTGATTTAAGAGGTCCTAGTAGCACTAGGTTTGACTTTCATAATTCGAAGAACAGTGACTTTTTTCAATGTCATTTCTCACTGATTCAATGTTTTTATGTGGGAAAGTTGTTTACTTTTTATGAATTATACATATAAGTAAGCAAATTAACTGATCTTGATATTATATCTAAAAATCCATAAAAGACAGTTATCTCAAAAGTAAGAAAACTTTTTCTCCCATCACTTGTTTTGTAAAATTTTGCATATTTTTGCATGTGCATATTTTTTTTAACTCTTCATCTCCATGTTACAATGTTATTAATGAATAAATTACTCATATTCCTTTGATATTCGTGACAAAATGCCGGGGTTGGGGGGGGGGGGGGGGGAAGAGAGAGAGAGGGGGTATTTATTTCAGGAGAGTTGGGAAGTATACGAGTTAGAGGAAGAAGTTTTATTTCAGGAGAGTTAGGAAGAGCATGAGTTAAGGGGGAGAAGTCGATATTTTTTAATTCATTCCTCTCCATGTTATTAATGATTTTGTCAAGATTTTTTAATTGATTGGTATTCTAATATTGACATTATGTTTTGTGTTTTATCAATATTGATATTAATTTTTTATATGTTATATCTAACTTACTTTTAATATTATTTAATTGTCAATTTCCTTTTCCTTTTCACGCAGTGTTATTGTTTTTATGTGTTTTACAAAATAGGTGACAAGTTATAGTTTGGAAATTGAGTCTTGGGTAGTCAGGCCGTTTTAATTTTGACTTTGAAATAAATAATTTTGTCACGGAATATCAAAAGAGGATATTGTTAGGTCCAAATTATAAATAGTAACTTCCAACTTCGTAATGTGCAATTTTCTTAATCAAAATCATGTCTTAATCAAATTGTATTAGGAGTTTATTGAACTTTAATCATAATTAATTAAAATAGGATTTATGAAGTCCAAGTTATAGTAAAAATAGTTTAGGGATGATAGAGTTTGAAAAGAAGTCAAAGAAATCCAAGAAGATTAAGATTCGAACTTCAAGAAGTAGAGCAGGAAATGGACTCTCGGCATTCGCTTGACTCCCTGTTGGTGCTCGAGCGGTAGGCTAGCCACTCGTTTGGTGCCTAGTTAGTGCTTGAGCGGTGGTTCAATTTTCAGAATTCACTATTTCTGTAGAAAAATATTTTTTTATTCCATTTTCATCCCAAAGATCTCCATGATAAACAACAGCCTCATGAATATCCCAAATTGTGTTATTATACATTAGAGATCGCATTCTTTAAGATCCAAATCAATAATCCATTATTCTTTTGATTAAGCCACATATCAAAACACAGAGAGATAGTTTATCAAACATCACAACAAAATCCTACCTTTCATCAATTAGCCTTCAGAGTTTTGGAGATTTGGAGAAGAGATGGTTGGAAAATGGTCAAACCTTTTCTTTTTTTTTTTTTAATGGATAACTAACTAATAAATTAACAAAAACCATCCATTTGGACTCCAAGTGCGAGTTTTTGAAAGATTTTGTATTTTGGGTACTACGAATTAAAGGATTGAGTTAAATTTGCATAAAAGTGAAAAGTTTGGTACTGCGTCTACAATTTTTCGTTGAAGTAATAAATTTAATATTAATTCCTACAATCGCTTACAAAAGTTGATTAGTGTTCCTAGAATAATCAAATTGTCCACTTAAACTTGAAATAATATGTATTAGAATTAAGATGTGTTGTACGATTTACTTGGAATCAAAAGATCCACCATAAGATCATAATGAGTTTTGTTTATGTAGGAATCCCTCTGATAACTCCTATTCAATTTTTAGGTGATTGTTAGTTAAAATAAAATAAAATTACAAAGTGGTAAGAATACGAAGAAGCATAGCAATCACAAAATTTTTTATATTACAACAAGACAAGTTTTAGGAATATATATGATACTTTTTAATTAATTATAATGACCAGAGCATAATCTTTAGTTATTTCTCACTGTCTTTGTAAAGAAGCGAAAGAAAACAAAGCACTATGAGGACAATTTGGTTTATTATAAGGTTGGTGTACCTAGAACTGGATCAAAATAAGGACGAATTAAGGGGTTACAGCAAGGTCCAACCATAGCCGAGATCCTTTTTGTAACTATTTATTTTTATTTTTATGTTTAGTTCGCGTCCAAATTTAAGTTCAGTCATTACCCAAGTTCCAAGTCCATAGCTCTAGACATAAGGACTGATTTAGGAACCCGATGCCACAGAGCCACCTCCATGTTCTTTAAAAATATTTAAAAACATTACTTTTCTTAAGGCC